CGCCTGTAATCCCAGCACTTTGGGAGGCTGAGGCAGGTGGATCACCTGAGGTCAGGAGTTTGAGACCAGCCTGGCCAACATGGTGAAACCCTATAGCAAGTAAAAAAAAAAAAAAAAAAAAAATTAGCCAGGCATGGTGGCAGGCACCTGTAATCCCACCTACTCAGGACACTGAAGCAGAAGAATTACTTGAAGGGAGGTGGTGGCTCACGCCTGTCATCCCAGCACTCTGGGAGTTCAAGGTGGGCGGATCGCCTGAGGTCAGGAGTTCGAGACCAGCCTGGCCAATGTGGTGAAACCCCGTCTCTACTAAAAAATACAAAAATTAGCCGAGCCTGGTGGTGGGCACCTGTAATCCCAGGTAGCCAGGAGGCTGAGGCGGGAGAATCCCTTGAACTCGGGGGGCAGAGGTTGCAGCGAGCCGAGATCGTGCCACTGCACTCCAGCCTGGGCGACAGAGTGAGACTCCGTCTCCAAACAAACAAACAAAAAATCCTCAGAGAATCCAGTCCTATGGAAATGGAACACGGACGGAACTGGGGGCTCACAGAGTGCGGAAGATGGTCTTAGAGCATTTTGGACGTCCTGCCTTGGGGTTTACGTCACAACGTTCAGGCACAAAAGGGAACGGGGAGACCGTCTCCTGCAGTAATTGGCTCCCATCCGCCATCAAGCCTTTGAACAGAGAGACCCACGTGGGGGAAACAGCGTAAGAGCATCTTCATTAGGCGATGAGGCTGGGTCTTCAGAGGCTCCTAGCTCTACCATCACTGGAGGGGACCATGCCCGTCCATATGGTGGTGTGGAGTCCCTGGGACACTCCCCTCGGTCTTTAAACGTCAACGTGGATCCTGACGTTGGCTTTTGACAGTTGTCTGTCCATCATAACGCCACATACGAGCTGTCATTCATCACAAAGGTAAAGCCCCCGAGAGTGACCACATCACCGCCTTGCAGGGGCGGCTGGTGGGGAAGCAGGAGGGATCCCCCAGAGACCTCTTTGTCCTCGGTCTGTGGGTCCAGCGTCCTGGGTGACTCGGCTTCCGTCTTGGCCAACTGGACCACCAGGGACTCCTCAGGGCCACCTTCTGGCTCTGCACCTGCTATCTTGTGGAGGTGGGCCACGTTCTGGGTGTCTGTAATCCACTCCTACCAGGAGGAAACGTTCTATAGCTCAAACACAACAGACACACCACAGACAGTGTCCACATGGTACCCACCACAGACGTCCCCAGAACCGGGCAGCCTCCCACGGAAACCACGCCATTCCCAATGGAACAGAAAAGCCGTCTCGTCTGGGAGGTCTAAGTCCCCTCCAAAGCTCTTGTCGGGGGCATGCGGGGGCTCTGAAACGGATACCCTTCTAAACCAAAAATAAAATTCTTTTTTTTCTGTTTTTTTTGGAGACAGAATTTCACTCTTGTTGCCCAGGCTGGAGCGCAATGGCATGATCTCGGCTCACCGCCACCTCCGCCTCCCCGGTTCTAATCCATTCTCCCGCCTCGGCCTCCTGAGTAGCTGGGATTGCAGGTGTGCACCACCGCACGCGGCTAATTTTGTATTTTTGGTACAGACGGGGTTTCTCCGTGTTGGCCAGGCTGGTCTCAAACTCCCAACCTCAGGTGATCCACCCGCCTCAGCCTCCCAAAGTGCTGGGATCAAAGGCATGAGCCACCTTCCTGGGCTCTTGAGATACACAAAGGAACTTCCAGGTATCTGCCCCTCTCCTTGCGTCTCATCTCCTCTCCACCGCCAAGGCAGGTGCACCCCCTGGGGTGGCCCACAATCATATCATCCGCTGAGCGACCATTTTAAGAGAACAATATTTAGGGCTGGCGCGGCGGTGACTCACGTTCCTGTGCATCCCAGGCGACTCATTGGAGGGCGAGGCGGGTGGATGCACCTGCGATCAGGAGTTTGAGGAGCCAGACCCTGGCCAACCGTGGTAAACACCCCGTCTCTACTAAAATACAGAGAATTTAGCCTGGGCGTGGTGGTGCCAGTAGCTGTCATGCCCAGCATACTCTGGAAGGCTGAGACAGGAGACACGCGCTTGAACCGCCGCCAGGGAGGCAGAGTTGCGTGAGCTGAGATTGGTGTCCACCCCGGCCTCTGCAGCGCTGGGGACAGAGAGAGATCTGCCAAGAAAAAAA